AGATTAACAAAGAATATTGAATACCAGGTAGAAGGGACTAGGTAAAAACTGCATAAATTAAAAAAAGAAAGATGGCAGGGTAAAAAGAAATAATAAGTGGAGATTTGAGTTCTATGAGTCGGAGATGTATCATGAGCTGAGTTGTGCCCATCTCCCCATCTCTCATTCGAAGAGGCAGCAAGAAGGAAGCCGTTTGCATTTGAAGAGTGGGGACTCATAGGAACCAATTCTGTAGGTACCTTGATGTTGGATTTCTAGCCTCCAGAACTGTGAGAAAATACATTTCTGTTTTTTAAACCATCCAACATGTGATATTTTGTTATGGCACCATAAGAAATTAATGCAAGGTGGAACAGACAATAATTGCCAAGGGATTAGATGTAGAATGATGGAAAATGAGGCAGCAAGCATGATTCCCATATTTGCATGTTGAATACCTGGGTGGGTAGGAATGCCATTTTCTGAAACAAAAAGACTGAGGGAAGAACATATTTCTTTGGCATAATCAGCAGTTTTGCTTTAATTACCCAAAATCTGAGATGGCTGTGAGATGTCTTTAGTAGAGATGCAAATTAGACAGTTGATAATTTAAAAATCTAGAGCTTAGAGGAGAGATCCCGGTTAAAGAAATACATATGTGAGGGCCTGTTCATATGTGTGTTTGTATATAGTCTTATGGTGATATTAATATTCAATATTAGGGAATGGATTAAATCAACAAGAGAGATAGTAGAGAAATAAGGAAAATAGATCCAACACTTATCTCCAAGGAAGTCAGCATTTCAAAGTCATGTGGAAGAAGAACAAGGAAAAGACACTGAAGAGAATATGATCAGTGAGGTAAAAGTACATCTAGGAGAATATGGCAAAACAGAAATGAAAATAACAGTGGTTTTCAAGTGGAGGGCATTGCATTCAAAATGCTGCTAAAAGTTGAAGTCAAATGAGAAAAAAAAGAAATTTGTCCATTCCACTTAGCAACATGAAGATCTTTAGTGACTTTGACAAGAACTTTTTCAGTGGGATTTTGGGGGTGGAAGCCAGAAGGGAGTGAGTCGAAAAATGAAAAGGAAGCAAGGAAGTATAGTGAATGTGATAACAGCATTTTAACGTTATAAAGAGTAACTGAGAAATAAAGGCTGTTGATCAGAAGTTTTAGGATGGTAGTACTGCTATAAAATATTCATGCTGATCGAAGGGATCTAGGAGAGAGGGAGACATTATTCGCATGAGAGTCAATAGAAGCAAGATCCAAGTTATTTGTGGTGGGGATGGATTCTTAGATAATGGCAGTTTACACCTCGAGACAGAAAGGAGAAAATGTGTGAAGACTCTATAAATTTAAGGAATTTATTATGTAAGATGAGGGAGTTTCCCCCTGATCCATCTGTTTTGTCATCAAAGAATGAAGAAGTTTTCAGTTATATTGAAGAGTTGAGGGGAAGTGTTGTGTTTTAGTGATCAAATAAAAGTTACAAAATATTCATAAGCCGTAATAAGAGACTGAGCTCTTAGGTGGCAGCCAGTGTGGTGAGGCCATGTGAGCCTGGTGATCATAAATGTATAGGGACATGAGACTGCTTGAGGGTATGAATTTCTTCAACAATGCTCTGCTGCATGGGTCCTGGATCAGAAAGGACAGTCGTATAGTACGGTAAACATGGTAATCCAGCCAGAAAAATGTAGGAGATAGCTGAAGGCTGTTGTAAGTAAATTATGATAATAATAGGCTTGGAATCCATGGGGTATATATTAGTTATTTACTTTTGCATAACAACTTATCCCCAAACTTAGCAGTTGGAAAAAACAAACATTTGGTATCTTACAGTTTCTGTAGGTCAGGAATGCAGAAGCAGCTTAGCTGCGTGGTTCTAGCTCAAAGTCTCTCACGAAGCTGCAGTGGAGATGTTGGCTGGGCTGCGGTCCTTTCAAGACTGGAGTGAGGAAGCTTACACTGTGGAGCTCACTCACAGGGCTGTTGACAGGCTTCAGAAGATCTTCTAATCAAACCCACTTGAACCTCTCTACAGGACTGCCTCACAACATGGCAGCTGGCTTACCTGAGAGTGAAAAGAGCTTCCAAGATGGAATACACACGCATTATATACCTTAACTTGAAAGTGACATCCTGTAACTACTGCCATATTTTATCTGATAAAAGAAGATTTCTAAATCTAGCCCACACTCCAGGTGAGATGATTACACAAGGGCATAAAACCCAGGAAGTAGGGATCATGTGAGTCCACGTTAGAGGCTGCCTACCACAGGGTATAAGGAGGAAAGCAAAGATAAGAGGTCAAATTGGTGGAATCACTGGATTAAAGATCTAAATGTTATGAATCTGGTTCCATGTGGTTATTTAGCAGACGAATTTGCAAAAGTAAAAAGTTGTATGATAATTGGAGAATTATATTTTAAATATTGAACCTGTCACTGGTTATTACCTTTTTAGTCAAAGATCAGAACGAAGATGTGGTTGAGTTGGTATGAAGGAAAGCACAGACATGGAATGAAGAAACCAGCGTGTCAGATAAGCCATCTACATGGATGTTGAAATGATGAGAAGAAAGATTGGATGTTGGGTAGAGAGGAAACTGTGAGCCAGCAGCTAATGAATTCTTGGAATGAAAAGCAATAATCTAGAAGTCAGTAGATGGCAGCAAGGAGGAAGAGGCAAAGCCAGCAAAGGCAGATTGCGTAACCTCTATGAAAAAGGGGATATAAAAGTGAAATGAGGAGTAAACATTTGAAAGCAGAAAGAGAGAGCACGGATACTAATTTTGCCACTCACCCACTTAATCAGAGTGTGGAGGAAGCATGCCAATAAGTGGCCTCCACTTGACGTGGCTGGAAGAGGTGCTGTGTCTTTACAAAGGAGCAGGTTTCAGTCAACGGAGGAAGTAAAGAGAATATTCTGCCCTCTTGTTTGTTGGTATAAAAAAGTGAGGAGATCCAGAAGGCAAAATTGGTAGGAACAGGACTGGAGAGGCAGGGAAGTTCAGAAATAATGGGTGATCAATAGACCGCAATCTCTGGTGTTGATTAAGGTCAACAAATGTTCTGGTCCTGACACCGTTAGTTATTGTCATCATTAATGGTAGATGGGACCTCATTCTAAGAAAAAAATATCAGATTTGGGAAAGAATAAGATTGGAAAGGGCTGTCTGTACATTAGCAGATGATAGCAAGTAGGAAAGGGTAAAGCTGATATAACTATGAAGATTTTTAAATTATGATAGAATGGAGAGACATTTCCAGCCTTTGAGTGGAACAATTGTCATTCTTTCTAGTCTAGGATTTTGTTGCATTTTTTTTCCTCTGCCTCCATTTCTTGTGAGACATCTTCCTTTATTTAGAAGATATCAGGAAGAACTTAGACATTATTCAGCCAAGTTCTTTTCTGTGATATAACTGAAGTCCAGAGGGTCCACAGCTTCTTGTCCACAACCAGGTATATATAATTGGTGTCAGGTTCATGGGTAAAAATAAAAAATCTAGATTTCTAATGCCTTTGAAATTTCAGAGATTAAAGATTACGGCATACATAAACATATGGAAACTTTATGTAAAAAATAGGCTGACAAGGGAAGAATTTGGGGATTAATTCCTATTTACCTGCAAACACATATTTTGACCTTTTAAAGTCCATATTTTTTAAGATGTTCATACAACACACAAATGTGACATTTTATGTTACCTACTCATGGTATTTCCTTGAAGCCACAAATGAAGCCTTGGGAATTGAGGGCCAAAAGATTTTACCAATTTAAGATTTTTATTTGTGTGATTGTATGGGGAAATAATGATAAAAATGGAAACCTGATACAAGTAAGGTTTTTGGACTAAATTAAATTCTGACTGTGGTTGGCATGGAATGAGGCTGCACTCGAACTCACCCAGGATAACTATCCTATCACATCTCCCTTTACTCTAACTCAATCCTTTTATTTCTTAGTATTTGTCATGTACTTCTCATTCTGGGATATCCAAGTAGAAAATGACCAATTCGTTTTTAGATGGAGACTAAAGGGAATCTAGTTTGGTTCCTATTATTATTTAATAATAATAATGAGGAGGAGGAAGAAGTGAAGAAGGGGAAGAAGTTATTTCAGTTGATTTTATTAACACAGAATATACTAAAGGATTTGTTGATTTTAGTAAATAATAAAATAATTAAGGTTCATATCTTTGAAGATATTGCAGTAATTCTCTTTAATTATGGAACTAGTTATTTCCAAAAGACTTTTTATATGTATATAATTGGAGACACTAAGTATTAAAAAATTAAAACATGTTGAAGAAGGAAAAATCTATAAACCTGTGTTCTTTAAAGCCTAACTGAAAATAAGTTACAAAATTTAGAATATGGTAATATAGTAATATCAGAAATACCATGAAAAAAGGAGTCAAGAGGCAAGAAGATGGTAATGAATTTTAAGCAATGATCCTAGAGGGTGGAGTTATTCTCAAATGTAGAAGTACTAAACTTTGCACAAAATAGCAGTAGACGAGAAAGAAATAAGTTGTGCTTAGAAACCTCATCGTTCGGAAATAATCTTAATAAAATGGATAAATTATATGAGAGATAAATTTGAAGGACTTTAACCTTAGATACCTGACCGATTTAAAGTAAGTTTATGTTATGATGTGTTAACACTGATTTCTCGGTAGTCCTTTTGGAATTTGGCCAGAAAGCTTAAATAAAAATTACTTTATACAATTAATTTGGCAGTTTTGGGGTGAAATATATTACTTTATTAAAGAAAAATACAAAGCGATGCAGTGAAACTTCGCAAATATACATGTGCCACCTGAAATACATATTTACCTATTATGTGTATATACACATATATGTGTGTATATACTTAGAAGTACTATGTGCATATATACACACATGTATCTATAATATATGTACAGAATACGTGTATGTGTTTGTATACATTAGACATATGCATGGACATACACATGGTCTTGTGAAAGAGACAAATGGAAGTTGATAATTATAATTTGAAATGGTGTTTTAAAAATATATTAAAGCCTGAAAACAGACCAATATCAATAGCAAGGAAGGGACACGGAACCTAGGACATGTAAACTGCTGCTCTTTTTTGTTGTTGGGTCAATATGTCAGCAATGCTTTCACACGAAACATAGTGCAGACATGAAACACTGTGATTCCCCCTTGGCTCGCTTTGGATTGTGCTACTGTCAGGGTCCAGAGACCAGATTGTCCATACATGGTTCTTTTTGTGATTCTTGATTATGACCCCCTGAGGAAGTCAGACGAGCCTGGAGTTACCGGAGACTGTGTCTTGCTTGGCATATTTATCATCCACAAATCATCTGCTATAAATATATCTCAGCAGGATCATCATCAGGCCAGCTCAGTAGCCTACAATTTATGAAGGTTATGGGAAACAGTGTGAAGGGTGAAGCGCTTTATTAAGGGCGGCTTTCTTTTCTGACCCTGCCCTGCATTCTACTTGAATATAAATGATCCTAGAAGTGAATGCTCCTTTCCATTTAAGATGAAGTCTTTTAAATTGTCCCTTTCGGCTGTTATTCTTATGTCACTGTGTCATGACTTTAATAATTTCTAAGCAACATCAAAATCACAGTGTTAAAACATAATATATGAAATCACTAGATGTAAAATAGAAGTATATCTAAACCTCACATTATTTTCTTTCCTTTTTATGTACAAATCATGCAAAGCATTTTCTTTTTCTCCATTTTTATTCCACATCTATCATAAATCTCTTTTTTGCTCTAGATAAAGTAACAGAATTGACCAAAATGCCTTGCAAACATCATGATTACAATCTCTACGGAAGTTGAAATAAATAAAATGTGTTTCTCCTTCCGTATCGCTGAATGTTTTTGGTTTTTAAAAGAAATTGTGTTTGCTTAATACACAGCGTTTTGAATTTTGCTCTGGACATAAACCCTATTTCCTTTTCACATTTCCTTAAATGAATAAAAAATATTGTCATGAACCAAAAATGACACAAAACCAAAATGCCACCCAGGCTGCTCTCTTGCTGGTGATTTGTTACTGGGAACATAGTTAAAGCCTGCTGGGGAATGATTAACTGTTTCCCTTACAGGGTGTTATTACAAACACTCATTTTAGAGGAGAAAGCCTTGAAGAGGGTCACTCTATTAATATGCATTAAGAAGTAAAAGGCCAATTTTTAGTATTTTAAACAAACTCCAATGAATAAAAGATCATCAGCACTTTCCAGTTTTCACTATCAACCTCTTTTAAAATGGTGTTCTTGGCTATCCAATCGCCCCAGGGGAGAGGAACAACAGGAGAAAGAAAAAATGCAAACGAGTGAGGAGAAAAAATAATGGAAAATTGCTTTATTCAACTTCACCTGTCGCTCAAGCAACTCACCCTTTGGAAAACTCCGACACTTTATATGAATTACCCATTATGGTCTCCTCCCACCACATCACTGCACTATTTTAGCACTTGTTTTGCAAACCACCAACTGCGTTTACAAGTGGAGACATAATCGGGCGGCGGATGACCTTTTGCGGCATGTATCTGAAGCTAGTTCATCAAATACTTCGTCAGCCAACTGCCCAGGAAGCAAATAAACAGATAAATAATAAAAAGGTAGAGGGGTGGTGGAAATTTATCCCCTTTTCCTGTCTATATGGAGAATCTGGTAGCTCTCCTCCCCCTCTTTCTCGTTTCTTCCCACCCCGTCCCCAAACCTGTTACTAGGGAAACTTGAAAAAGAATCAGATACATTAAGAATACAAAACCAAACAAAAGTTTAGACCCCACCACCATGATCCCACTGCCAAGCGAAAAGCAATGCAAAAGCCCAACCTCGGTCGCTGCACCGCGGTCCTGACAAAGCCTGTATGGAGCCAGAACAAATAAGATGTTAATTGCAGCGTCGCTGAGAAAAACTACTATTGTTCCAGCCAGAGACACGCAGCAGTTCGGGAGCTGGGATGTGCCCCCTCCGCTGCGGACTGGATCAATTCTGAATCCCGGTGCTGAAATGACAGCTCTCTGGCTGCGACAGGTCGGTGCTGAAAGGCAGAAAGAGAAAGACGATCAAGTCCAGCATTCACTTCCCAGCCCTCAGAGTCGCCTTCCCGTCCTCCGCGCCCCCCTGCCGCGCCTCCCAGTGAGTTTCTCTTACAGTTGGTCGCCGCCAGCCTCAGCGGTGGGAACTGAGGATGCAAAAACCTCCCAGACGCAGAAAATACCGCTTTCGGGACGTGCTTGGGTTTGAGTAGCCGTGACGTGCAGGCGCACCGCAGCCCTGGCTGGAGCTCCGCGGAGACCCCCTCCCGCCCGCCCTCCCGCCGGGACTCCCTCCCGTCCCACCCGGCCGCCCCCGTCGCCTTCTCTCGCGCACCCCCGCCCGCGC